TTAATCTACGCATACGCAGTGATAAGCAAACAAAATTGAACACTAGAATTGATATGAACGTATGCATCCATCTCAATTATTTTTATTTTAGAAATTTGCACGTCCTTATCTAAACCATTGTTCACATATATCATATTTCGCATTCTCACTAATAAATTTCAACTATTAATTCCACAATATGTCAATGAAATTGGCCTACATTACCTAAAACTCACAACTCAACAGTACGTGCCTTTTTTATACTGTGTTCCTATTTTTCCAAAACCATAGTCAATGTAACTTAAAGAAAACCTCGATTTTACAGTGTAAATTAATATATCTCTATTTGGACATCTAAAATGTAAATCCTAAAGAAATTAAAGCTTAATCGGCTACTTAAAACAGGTAAGGAACAAAATCAAAGGTACGACTCGGTACGTACTTAGTAGATTCTCGTATCTTCGAGTCTCTAATCTCAATGCATAAAGTATTATTATTTTTTATTAATGTCAAATCTTGTTGCAATTGTTAGGTTAAAGGTTTAAAATAAATAGCTCCAAAACCAAAGCATCTAATCCAAGCCGACACGTGTCACACAGAGAAGCGTCCATCACCGTATGGGCCCACTTATGATTCTGTGAAAAGCCCACACAATATGGACCACATTTAAAAAGTTTATTTTTTTAATATATATACACACACCTCAGCTTCTTTTATTTTTTGTGTTATAGATAAGAACCACCGAACCAACTCTCTTTAAGAAAAAATTCTCCCGAGGCAACAAAAAAAATGAGATCATTATTTACAACAATGCCTCTTCTTCTCCCTACCTCTTCCTTCAAAACCACCGCTACTTTCTTCCTCGCCGGAGTTTTCTCCGTCGCGGCGGCGGTTACTTTCACCGTTCCTTCCGTTTCGCATTTCGCGGTGTCTTGTTTTCCCACCATCTACGATAATACAGTCTTCCTCCTCAAGCCACCGTATCTTTACTTAGTCATCAACTGTATCATCGTCTCTATCGTCGCTACGTCCAAGCTCACGCATAAATCGCCGACTTCCGTCGATGATTCTGATTTCTCCGAAGTAGTTACTCCGGTTACGGTTGTACCGGTACCGACCGATATCGACTCCGGTTATTTAAACGTTGCTTCTGACTATACCGGATTTGTTGCGCCGGTTGATCCGACGGTGGAGGATGTTCGGGAGTCGTTTCCTGATGATAATCTGACAGTCGATGACGGAGGTGATCAGAAGAAAGAGACGGAGATGCTTAAACCGATCAGTAGCGATTCGTCGGAGATTCCAAAACCGAAGAATGATTCACCGGAGAAGATTTCGATCCTGAAACAATCGAGGAAACCGCCGATATTCGGTCAACAAAAATCGCTTAAAACTAATCCAGAAGGTATTTTATTTATTTATTACTAATTTGAAATTGGGGATGAAGTTTCCGTTCAAAAATTTCGAATTTCTGGGAGGGGTAAAAAAGTAAATTAACGAATTATTTCTGCAGGTGGTGGTGGAGGTAAAATGACGGCGTTGGGAGTGACAAAGCCACCGAGGAAGCAAGACACGCTGGAGTCGACGTGGAAGAAGATAACGGAAGGACGTTCGACGCCGTTAACGAAGCATTTGACCAAATCCGACACGTGGCAAGAAAGGACGCACGTGCAAAGCTCGTCTCAGCAAAACAAGGAGAAGATGACGAAGTCTGAGAATTTAAATGACATAAATACCCCTACGGGGA